GCCACCTCTGAGCCCTAAATGGGTGCCTCTGATGAATCGACTGCTTGCCAGCAAACCTGGGCATCCTGTACCCCGGGGTGCACCGCCCCCCTCCCTGGTATCACTTCTGATTTTTTTTAGCTCAGAAAAATAGTTTTTCAAAATTTTCAGCCTTCCTCTCGTCTCTTCGTTTGATCCAACTCTCGCGGCGCTGCGCAGGGAGCTGGTGGGTGGCCACACCGCAGTTCAGCTGAGGTTGGTTTCGTAACTCTTGGGAAACAGCAGCTCCAACCCAACAGCTCAGCCTGGCGCCGCGCGTGCAGAGTAAGGAATGGGAATTCTAGCCCCTCCACCACCCCGAGATCTCTATGGGGTCGTGATGATGCCACAGCCTGAACTGGCCATAAACAGGAGGCTACGAGCTCAGCAGGAGCCACTTTGCAGATGCTTTTGCCAAATAAATGCGGAATGCCAGCCGGCTGCCCCCCACCCACGGCCCTGCCACGGGCCCAGGCGCCACCGCGCTGTTTCCGAAGAAACGGTGGCACTCCGGGGACGCACCTGGGCAGCTCGCAGGTTGACGTCCCCCTCCCGCAGCAGCTCCATCACCACGTCCATGTCGGCGGGCGGCCCCGGCGCGGCACCCCGGCCGTTTCGCCGGCGCGGTTCTGCAGGTCCAGGCGGCACACGCCTGGTGGGCACCGCGCAGGGGAAGGATTCCGCCCCGCGATGAATCGGACGGAGAGAGACGAGCAAACGAGAAGCACAGAGGGAATTATAAGACACGCAGCATCTCGCAGTCCCAGAAAGTGGAGTTTCCATAATTTTACAGGGCTGGGATTTGCCGGTGTGCAGTATCTACTCTTGCGAGCGCAGCGCTAAAGGACGTTTGGTGCTACGCATTGCTACGGTTAATTACAATGGCTGAGGTTAACTTGATTAACTTGGAAGACCATAACCAAAAAAAATGGGAGGATAATTAATGCCTTGGGCACACGCCAGTCACGGGCTGTTTGCTCCGACTCCAGCAGCCCAGGAGCAGCGGAAAGACGAGCGTCACCCGTAAATCCGCACTGTAAACCCATCCTGGCCCCGTTTCACTCACTTTTCACCTCAAAGAGCCTATTTCCAACCCCACCAGGAGGAAGGAGCCGTGTCTGGCAGGCTGGGGCTGGGGGTCCGGCCCTGCCCCGGGGCCGTGGCCGCCTCCCGCGCGGCTGCGGCAACAATCGGCTTATAGAGGCGTATGATAATCTGCCATTTCCCGAACATTTAGCAGATTGTCTGGGCCAGGAGAAAAGGCCAAAGTGCCTTTGTTGTTGCCGAGCACGCCTGCTTTTTCCCCCCCCGCCCCGTACAAGCTCAGCTGAGATTTTTCTTTCTTTGCAACAGGAGCTGAAAGTTCAATAGTTTAAAATGGAGTTTTTCCGTGGCGCGGTGGGGTGTGTTACGCTGATCCTCCAGCTCCCAGCCACGATGTGGCATTCGCTGCTACCAAGAAGCTGGGGAAGCCACCCCATCCCACCTGGACTGGGGCCATGAGAGACACCCCTTGGCCACGGGGACCCTGAGCCCTCTCCAAAATCAGCCTGCAAAGCCCTCAAGGTGTGTCAGGGCCCTGAGAACACTAATGAGGTTTAATGTCCCTGATAAGCCTCAACTGGGACCTTCGCCCACACCCATGGGACCAGGGCTGAGCTATGGGGAGGATGCTGGTCTCCAGATCAACCATGTCTCCTGGGTGGACAATGGCCCCATGCTTTTATCTTGGATGGACCTTGGCCTTACATTTATCTCCTGGATGGACCCTGGCCCCATGCTTGCCTACTGGATGACTCCCTTGCATGTAGGCTGTAGTTGGTCCCCAGACCCACCTCTGTCCCACCTCCTTTTGCTCTTGACTGAACTCCCTGGCAGGACCCTGGGCCTCGCGCACTGTTTGCCAAGTCTGGGACTGTTGATGGATCCCCACTACCTGGCTCTGCCAGCCATGGTCAGCCCCTATGGGACCATGCCCCACTGGCAAGAGTGACATAGAGTAACTTCCACATCCATACCCAACAAAAGCCATGGCTGAGCAGAGTGGCTGTTCCTACCTGTGTCTAGCAGGAGCTTCGCAATTGGGAAGTTGGAGTGGGAAACGCTGTAGTGAAGAGCCGTGTTGCCGTTCCTGTCAGCTAGGTTCACCACCAGCGCCAGGAGCTGGGGCTGGATGGCCTCCAGCGCCTTGAGGTACGCTGCGACCACCTCCGGGCTGGAAGACTTGCGGCTCGACACCCGGAACCACTCCTGGCAGACGGTGCTCAGGACATGCCGCTGGAAACACCAAGGTCTCACCGTTACTCCTGAGGTAGTCATCCTGCAAAGCGGTCCCTGCCCCAGCTCCTCACCCCGCACCACCTCGTCCTGTGCTCTGGCATCGCCCAGCTGCTATTTAGCTTGTGGTTTTGGGATCACTGTGTAACTTAAGGGGGAAAGGAATTTCCTGTGGTAACTTGGAATGAGTAAGCAGAGAAAGCCTCTTTTTTTTTTTTTTCCCTTTTCCTTTCTTTTTGGCTATTCTAAAACTGACTCAGAGGGCATCTCATCCCCCCCTCCTCAAAAGCTGTCCATGGCACGGTAGGGCACAGCCTGCAATGTGCCAGCAGGACAATCTTATCCACCAAACGTGACAGAGAGTGGGAATCGTGTCCGAAATGGGATGGAAAATTATCTGTACCAGATGCTCGTCGCTCGTGGTCCTGATTTCTGAGAGGTGCTGGCTGAGTAGCTGGCAGTCGGCAAGGAAATCTTCGGACGGTTTGCATCTAAAGGGAAAAGACTTTTGTAAACCCATCAGGAGACAGAGCTTGCGGGAGGTATTGAAGCAGGAAGGAGAACACGTGGCTGAAGTCAGAATACGTTCAAGACTTAGTCAAGTGCTCAACTTTATGGACACAAGTCGTCCCACTGACTTGACGCAGATTTCAGGCACAAAGCTAAGCACTTCAATAGGTATTTCAGTCCAGAATCCCAGATCGGTATGGACAGCTTCATATGTTAAAAGAAGCCTTAAAGTGGGGAAAAAAAAATATAAAAAACCATCTTATTCCTGAATCTGCAAAGAATTTTACTCAGAAACTTTACTCGAGAGGGGAGAAATGAGCTAATTGTAACCAAGTATGACTCACTCTGCCTTTTCCACAGTCAAGCTTACGGCCTGAATCCATCCCCACCAGATTCTGTAGTAACTCAACAAATATTTAGCTCTTCGAAGCCTTTTTTCCCATGGCTACAGAGGCCAGTGGCTGTGTCTCCATGGAGCAGAGGAAGCCCCAACCCCAGCCCTGTAGGAGCCGCTGGATGCGGTGCCACACATACCGGGGCTGCAGAAATGTGGTGGAAAGCACCAACACTGCCTGGTTTTGTAGTCACCTGTCAGCCTTGTGCTGAGTGCAGGGCGCTGCTTCTGCCGATGGCTCCTGCAGGTCATCATCCTCACGTCTCACCTGCGCGTCATCATCCTCACGTCTCACCTGCAGGTCATTGTCCTCAAATCTCACCTGCGGGTCATCATCCTCACTTCTCGCCTGCGGGTCATCATCCTCACGTCTCACCTGCGAGGAGGTCCCCAACGAAGCCCCCTCGCTTTCATCTCCAGCTTTCGCCTGTGTGGGCTCCAAATCGTCGTCTCTTCTCTCCGTCTCGCTCTCGGCGTCCCCGTCTGATGGGCTCTCTTCGCAACTTGTGTCTTCGCTTGAAGTTGTTTCGTAGCTATTTGAGGACACCACATGTTATTCACTCCTTCCCCATCTGCAACCACAGGGCCTGACCAAGGCTCATTGAAGACATCCACTGACTCCAATGGGCCTTGGATGAAGCCCAGAGTGATACGCACGTGAAAAGGTTAGAGCCACAGCCAAATTTGGGGTTAGTCTTTTTTTTTTAACGGCTTCTGAAGCCAGCAGGGGTGCGACAGAAGCAGGTAATTAGCAGCAGGCAAGGTTACTTTGGGGACTACTCGGTTTGGAGGGATGTCCATCACATGGCCAGCCAAGGGCTGGTGCCGCCTCCCTGCTGGGAGCTACCAGCACGCAGATGGAGAGCTGTGAGAAAAGGAGACCCTGTGGCAAGGTGGGACAAGCAGTATGTCGGCAACCTTGAGGACTGCTAGACAAAAACTGTGATTGCAGCTCCAGCACAGACCTGAGTCCACCATTTGAGCAGCCCTGCGAGAGGGATGTCTCTTCTGGTCCATGTCTTCCATGAGACAGCACATTTCACTCTGAGGGATCCCAAAACTTTTCTCAAACTAGTCGAGATTCCTCTACTTGCTACAAGCTGTACCTATTTCAGCGACTGTTGGTAGAAGAAGCCCTACACAACAAGAGCGAGCAACACCTGATGAACCCAACAGCAGTAGCCATTGAGCTGGGAAGTCAGAGACACATATGTCAGCACAAACCAGTATTCAAACTTGCACACATAGCTGTTGGCACAGGGAAGGGACAGTGAAATGCATCCTGCCCTCTTTATGTGAGCACACGTGCTCCTGGGCAGAAGATCTGCCAGTGCTGCTCTTAGAGATGCATCTACAGCATACATTGTTACGTCAAGTCAGCTCAAAGGTGGAAGAGCATTAGATATTGGATACACAGCGAACTGGGTGTTGGAGCGAAACCTAGAACACAGGTCTCCTACACCCCGAGGTAATTCCTTATTTACTGAAATAGTCTCTTCTCAGGCCCTGAACCAACTTTTGTTGGCTATCGCTGGAGCGTGGAGGCAGGTTAGCGGCAGCGTGCCCACCCAGGCAATGCTGGCCTCCTCCACACCCCACCCCAGTTAGCAGGAATCTTCCTGTGGACCCAGCTGGGTTTTGGATGAAGCCCCCAAAGATGGGTGAGCAGAGAGCAGCAGTCCCCAGGGTGTCCCTCACTGTGCTGAAAACACCAGCTTTTCTACAGGGTTACCTGAAGGGTATCAGTGCTGGATTAAAGAAGGGAGAAAAGAGGCTCCATTTCAAATGGCCTTTTAATCAAGAGGTTTGGAAGGGAAAAGAGGGGAAAAAAAGAATGACTTCTTCAGCGCTACAGAGGACGTCACATGTTAAAAGGTAGTTTTTATCTTCTGAACGGATGCTTACCCACCATTCACCCCCACAAACTGAAGATTCTTTTTGGTCCCATTGCCTCCTGCATGGAAACCATAACCCTTCTTTTTCATGATAGATTTAAGACTTGTGGTTGGAGAGGTTTCTAGCAAAATACAAAATAACAGATTAATTAAGCAGATGTGCCATAATTATCAATGATTATTCCCAACCTCTAGCAACAAACAACAAATCATAACCGTAAGCGTCTTAGCTCATCTTAGGAGATGCTTTCTATGTCTTGCAAAACTACTGATGCACCTGGCCACAATCTGAACCCGCCCTGCCACCTTTAAAATAAGGGTCTCAAACACCTCCAAGTGATTGAGAATATAAAGGGAGGGACTGGGAATTATATACGTGTCCCATGAGTATAAGGAGGTTTTACTTTTGTAATAATGTTTTCTTCTTTATTTTTTTTTAAATACTAATATATTGGCTGTGAATCTCCTAAATATATCACCTATAATACTACATGGATGAGTCTTTCCATCAGCATTTGAATAGTCTCACACATATTGCTCATCAGTGATAGGTCACTTATCTACTGCAAGTCCCCCCTGACAGTGAACAGGATTCTCCTCTTCATATAAGCTAAAATTATTTTAGATGAACGGCTGTGAGTGGGGACAGGTCTTTTCCCAGCCTAGTTGCTTGGATAGCTTGAATTTGTTTTGGTTCTGGTGAACTTCATGCCGCTTTACCCTAGATGAGCATGAGTCCCATATCCGCAAATCGAGATGGCCAATCCAATTGAGAAAAACAGTTGTTTGACGGAACAGCCACAAGTATGGCCACTTTTGGAAGCTGATCCTGCATATAACTGAGGCATTGATTTATCAGCTCCTACATGGTTTTGTTTGCTTTTTTTATTTAAGATCGCGTAGCTTACGATGTCAGAGATTTGCCTCTCTCATACGTGTTCAGGAGGGGCTATTTCTGATCAGACTGGTACTAATTATACCACCGAGGTCTCCTGCATCACCCCTACTCAACGCCTGAATAAATGGGAAGAGATTTGGCCCGGACACATTGAAACCTACGCCAATGTTATTTACCCAACTGTTGATAGTGTGTGTTCGAATTCTCCTTATCCACAGGCCCTTGCGTAGAGTAGGCGGACAGCAACGAGTTTAAGGAATTAACTAACTGGTTCTGAATGGAGCTGAGCTTGGAGGCCGGCTGCTTAATAGCGCTCGCTAACTCGGGGTAGCCGTGCTCCAAACACAGCCACTGCTCCTGCAAAAGCTCCTGGATTTTTTTTACGTATTGGCCAATGGGGTCAACAGCGGGGAGATCCTCGTGCTCAGGGAGACCTTCCTCTTCCAGCCCATCTCGAGGGTTATCTTTGCCAAAGCCTGCCTTGTTTTCTCCCGTGTTTGAGCCAATTCTCGTTCCTCGATAGCTTTCTGCAGCCACCGCGTGAGCAGTGAGACTCTGGGAACTGTAGTTATTCCTGTGGTTTTGATTGTCATCGCTGAGGTGCTCGTCGATCTTCAGTTGGGTGAAGCACGGTGCATGAAGGCCAGCCTCGATGTCGGCTTCACCAAAATGTCCAGGTCCTTCTCCACTGACACCAGTGCAAGCGTCTGCCAGCCCCTGACCTCTCCGAGCACCCAGCTCCACCGCTTGCGCGTTCATGTTGCCTGATCTGTGGATGCTGCAGCCTATGGATACGGTGGAGACTGGAATATTTACGTTGATGCCTTTATCATGGGCTTGCTTGGCCTCGGTTACCTGCGAGAGGTCAGTGTTCACCGCAGCGTCGTGACACTGCAAAGCCCCGCTGCTCCGCCTGGGCGGCGGCTGGGCATCTTTGGTGTTTTCCTGGCACAGCTTCTCTTCCAGCTGAGCTTTGGAGCTGGCCAGTAACTTAATGCTTTTCTCCTTCTCCTTGATCTCATGGTCCTGCTGCTCCAGCACTGCCCTGATCTCCTCAAGCTCTTCCTTCTTCTTGCTCAGCTGCTCCTCCAGAGCAGCGATCTGCTGCTTCAGCGCGGCCACCCCGCCGGGCTCTCCTGCGTCACAAGGCTGAGGACCAGGGCTCTCCTTGTTCTCTCCAGCCTGGACACTCCCCTCCTCAACTTTCTTCAGCACGTTTGGAGCGATTGCACTTACACTTAACTCCCTTTCCCCAGGGTTTGTGCTCTCCTCTGTGGGCTGGAGGGCACCCGGTGAGGTTGGTTCCCCACCAGCCAAAGCAGATTGACCGCCAGCATCGGCACCATCGCCCTCCTCACCTCCACTCTCCAGCACCACCTGCAGCTGCGGCACTGTGGGATGCTGGCTCTGCCACGGGGGCTGCATCTGCGCCAGCCCCGGGCTGCCTCCGCTGGGCTGCTCCTTCTGCCCCAAGGAGACATCTTGCTCCAAGCTCATCTCCCGGGCCGGATTCAACACGACGCGCTCGGCACT